GTTGCACCAATTAGCAGTCCCACCAGCAATGTATGAGTGTGCTTTTTTCCCCACACCCTCTTCAACACTTATTATTGTCTGTATTCTTTTTCTTTTTATATTTTTATATATTTTTTTAAATACTTATTTTTCAGTTTTCGGTGGACACAACATCTTTATTTTATTTTTATGTGGTGCTGAGGATCGAACCCAGGGCCTCGCACGTGCTAGACGAGCACTCTACCGCTAAGTCACAATCCCAGCCCTGTATTCTTTTTTTTTTTTTTAATATTTATTTTTTAGTTGTAGTCAGACACAATGCCTTTCTTTTTATTTATTTATTTATATGTGGTGTTGAGGATTGAACCCAGGGCCTCACGCATGTGAGGCAAGTGCTCTACTGCTGAGCCACAACCCCAGCCCTGTTGTCTATATTCTTAATAGCTGCCATTCTGACTGGAGTGAGATGAAATCTTAGAGTAGTTTTGATTTGCATTTCTCTAATTGCTAGAGATGTTGAACATTTTTTTCATATATTTGTTGATTGATTGTATATCATCTTCTGAGAAGTATCTGTTCAGTTCCTTGGCCCATTTACTGATTGGGTTATTATTATTATTATTATTATTATTATTATTGGTGTTAAGGTTTTTGAGTTCTTTATATAACCTAAAGATTAGAGCTTTATCTAGTGAGCATATGGTAAAAATTTGTTCCCATTCTGTAGGCTCTCTATTCACCTCACTGATTGTTTCTTTTGCTGAGAAGAAGCTTTCTAGTTGGAATCCATCCCATTTATTGACTCTTGATTTTATTTCTTGCACTATAGGAGTCTTATTAAGGAAGTTGGGGCCTAATCCCACATGATAGAGATTAGGGCCTACTTCTTCCTCTATTAGATGTAGGGCCTCAGGTTTAATTCCTAGGTCCTTGATCCACTTTGAGTTGAGTTTTGTGTATGGTGACAGATAGGGATTTAATTTCATTTTGTTGCATATGGATTTCCAGTTTTCCCAGCACCATTTGTTGAAGAGGTTATCCTTTCTCTAATATGTTTTTGGCAACTTTGTCTAGTATGAGATAACCGTATTTATGTGGGTTTGTCTCTGTGTCCTCTATTCTGCACCATTGGTATACCAGTCTATTTTGGTGCCAATACTATGCTGTTTTCATTTAAGGTTTATTAACCTTTTTTTTTTTTGTTACTGGGGAGGGAACCCAGGGGCACTTTACCAGAGAGCCACATGCTCAGCCCTTTTTATTTTTAAAATAGTTTTAAAGTTTTCTTTTTAATTTTTAAATTAGAACTTTATAGTTATACATAGTAATTAGGTTCATCCCAATGAACTCATGCATGGGATTCAATTTCAGTTCACCATCCCATCCTTTTCTCTCCCCTTTTTTTCTCCCATTCTCCTTCCCCTTCCTTGTTCCCCTTCCTCTACTCTGCTAAACTTCCTTTTGCTCATCTAGTTATTTATGTTTGATTGGTTCTTTTTACTTATACATAAAGGTGAAGTTCCCTGTGGTATATTTATATGTACACAAAATTCATTCGGCATTGCCTCCCTTCTCCCATCCCTCCACTCTGCCTTTTGATCTAATACACTGCTGACTTTCCCTTTATCTTTATGATAGCCAATCCTTTCCTCCTCATTTCCTTTATTTTACTTTAGCTTCTTCATGAGAGAAAACATTTGACCTTTGAGTTTCTGAGTTTGGCCTATTTAATTTAGCATGATGTTTTCCATTTCCATCCATTTACCAGCAAATTTCATTCTTCTTTATCTCAGTCCTTTTTATTTGAGAAAGGGTCTCTTGCTTAATTGTTGAGTCTGGTCTCAAACTTGTGATCCTCCTGGCTCAGCCTCCTGAATCGCTTGGGATTACAGGCGTGGGATTCCATACTTGGCTCAAATCCTTGCTTTTGATTCTTGTGGATATATATACCTAGGAGTGGAATTGCTGGATCATTTGATTCTTGTATGTTCACCCTTCTGAGAAACTTCCAAACTGTTTTCCACAGAAACGTATTACCATACATTTCTACCAGCAGTGCATGAGAGTTCCATTTTTCTCTACATACTTGCTAACACTTTTTTTCCTTTTTTCCCTTATTGTATCCATCCTAGTAGGTGTAAGGTGGCATCTTGTTGTATTTTATTTGCATCTCCCAAATGACTAGTGATGTCAACATGTGCTCACTGGCCATCTGTTTATGCTGTTTGGAAAAATATCTATTCAGATCTTTTCCTCATTTTTTTTAAATTGGGTGTTGCTGTGCTGAGTTTTAGGAGTTCTTTATGTATTCCTGATAATAGCCCTTATCCGATTATATTTGCAAATATTTTCTCCTGTTCTGTAGGTTTTCTTTCCTTCTTTCTATTTTATTTAGCGTATTATTTTTTTATCTTTTAAAAATTTTTTTAGTTGTAATTGGATACAATGCCTTTATTTTATTTATTTTTATGTGCTGCTGAGGCTCAAACCCAGCACCTTGCACGTGCTAGATGAGCATTCTACCACTGAGCCACAACCCCAGCCCCTATTTTTTTTAATTTTAATTTTATTTTTTGCAGTGGTGGGGATTGAACCCTGGGCCTTGAGCATGCTAGGCAAGCACTCTACCACTGAGCCACAACCTCAGCTCTGTATTTTAAGTGAACTTTATAATACATTCTGTCATATTCTAAAGATGGAAAATATTTTCAGTAGAAGCCAATCACTTCTTTATTATATAATATTCAGAAATAACACAACTAGCCAGATGTGGTGGCTCTTGCCTATAATCCCAGTGATTTGGGAGACCAAGGTAGAAGAATTGCAAGTTCGAGACCAGCCTCAGCAACTCAGCAAGGCCCTGACTCAAAAAAAAAAAAAAAAAAAAAAAAATTTTAAAAAGGGAATGTGACTCAGTGGTTAAGTACACTGGGTTCAATCCCTGGTACCAAAATAATAAAAAAAAATAATAATAAAGACAGCTTGTTGCACCTCATAGTTGGGCTAATACACCCTCCAATGTGCATTTTCCAAGTGTCTGAGAGTCGCTAGTCCTAAAATGAATTGGTCACTTTCACTAACTGACCTAGGCCTCCACAGGTACTGTGTCCTTTGACTGGGCATGCCTTTTGGTGATTGTTACTACCAACCTGCAACAGAAACAGTCATGTGAAATATTCAGGCCAGGCCTGGGCTGGTGGGAGGGATGCAGATACCTGGGACTCAGGCCTTATCCCAAGAGGAATTCCATAGACCACAGCACAGTTTTCCCTGGGGAGGTGATATATGAATAGATGTACTAACTTGAGAGGAAGTTGTTCCAAAGTTCAGGCACAGCATATGCAAAGGCCACAAGGGCCCAAGGAGCCCAGTTTATTGTGATTTTAAAGCACTGTCCTGGATTATCACTAGCCTTTACTACTTTCCAAGTTCTGTGACCCATCCCCATTAGAATTTCAACAGACCTGTCACCTCCAAGGCCCAGAAAGCTACCTGACATTGCCTAATTTCTCTTTTGTTTCACTGAGAGGAGGACCTTCTGGGCCTTCCCCAGTATTCCTCAGGGTAAGGCTGGCCCAGTGAAGCGCTCTTTTGATTCCTCACCCAAGCCTGTGTTCTGAGAGCTCTGGATAGGCCAGAGACAATTTTATTACAGTTCCATGAAATCCATGATACACTGTCAAGTGTACCCACAAGAGATGTCTCTACTCCTCCAGAGGCTGCCCAAACAAGTTAACTCTTGGACCCTGATTCAGGATACTGGGCTACTGGCCAGGTCAGCCACTTACTCCATAAAACCTCAGGCAAACAACAAACCTCTTGTTTCTTTGGATCAAGGGGGTTTCCGAGATGAAAACAGCTGCATCCCCTTTTAATTTAATTAACTAATTTATTTTGATTTTGTTTTTGGTACTGTAGATTGAACCCAGGGTGCTGAGCTACATCCCCAATCCTTTTGAGTCAGGGTCTCACTAAATTTGAGACAGGATCTTTTTTTTTTTTTTATGGTGCAGAGGATTGAACCCAGGGTCTTATGCATGTGAGGCAAGCACTCTACCAACTGAAATATAGCCCTAGCCCCAGAGAGACAGGGTCTTGCTAAATTGCTGAGGCTGGCCTTGAACTTGGAATCCTCCTGCTTCAGCCTCCAGAATCACTGGGATTACAGTCGTGTTCCACCGCGCCCAGCTTGCATCCCTTTAATCTTAGGGACCTAAACTGTCTGTGACCAACCGGCCCCTAAACCTTGTTTCCCTCCATAGGCAGTTCTGACTCCTGACCTAGCAGCCCTCAACCCATGGGAATTTTTATGTCGTCAAACCTCTGAGCACTGCCCCCCCCCTCCGCCCCCGGCCGAGAATCCTTTTTTCTCCCCTCTGGCCAACTCTTATCGGTCATCTCACAAACCAAACTCAAAAGCCATCATCTCCGGAAAGAAGGATTTCTTCCCTTCTGTCTCTTCCTCCTCTGTGCTTCTGTCATGCTGTGGGTGCCCTGGGTCTGCTTACACCCAAGAGTCCGGGTGTAATCCAGCTAGGGAGAGTCTGGTCGCGAGGCGGCGTTCCTTCCAGGAACACTTGTCTGCCCCTGCAATGAGTTAGGGCATCTGTGACACCAGCCTGGGTCCCTACAGCCCGAAGCATCCTCGGGACGGAAGAAAATAAAAGACTCTGGTTTTCTAAGCATCCTTCACTTTAGAGTTCAGTCCGGGCGCGTTTGCGTCAAGGAACGCTGGACTTGGCCTTGGAGGCCCCGCCTCCGGAGCGCGCCAACAGGCAAAGGGGTAGCTGACCCAGGGGCCTAGAGTCTGGTCCCAACTTATTACCCCTGACAGCAAGAGGAGCACCCTGTGAGGCAAAAATTTTCTGGTGGGGCCCCAGCGGCGCAGACATGCGGCAGCTTCCCCCGAGGGGTGCACTCAGCTCCTCCGCCCCCACCAAGCCCTTGGTACGGCCCGGGGATTCCCCGCCACCGCCCGACCCCGACGTCCCGGAGTCCCCGAGAGGTCCCGCCCCCCGCCGCGCCTGCTACCGAGCGCGGCGCCCGGGGCACTGGCTGGAGACCGGGCGATGGCAGGGCCCGAAGCATCCTTCGACCCCACCTCGGGTTGGAAGCGCCACATTGTGCGGCAGCTACAGCAGCGGGACCGCACGCAGAAGGCACTTTTCCTGGAGCTGGTGCCGGCCTGTGAGTGTGCCCTTGGGCATCTTAGAAAATGGCCATTGAGGAGGCTGGGCTCCCGGCCTGGGAAGAGGGTTTGGCTCTTCAAGCCGTGACACAAGTGCTTCGGCGCCTTCTGGCTTCCGAGGCCTTTCGACTTGAACCTGTCTGCCACGCCCCACTTCTGAATGGCCAGGATTCCCGTCCCTTCCAATCCAGGCTCTGCTTAGAACTCTCTTGGGCGGAGAGATCCTTGTTGATACTCCCTCAAGGCTCGGCTCAACCCCCACGAGCTGGGTTTCCTAGAACGTTTGCCCTTGAGTATTGTTTTTGCCAGGTCTTTTGTGCTTTCCTCCCTCTCAGATGGTCCCCAGGACCAGATCAGACCATTTAGTCTCTAACCCAGTGAAGGAAGGCTGGACTATCCAGAGCAGCCGCTTGTTGGTGGATCTAGGGTAACAGTGAAACTCTTATCTCTAAGGAGAAAACTCTGAATCTGGGCTCTGCTGCCGCCTATAGATGATTGGAACACATGAAGCTTCTCTGTGCTCAGCACACCCCAGCCTGAGGGAGAAGCAGGGGCCCGCAGGATTTCTAAGGGAGCTGGGAAGTCAGATTCTTTTGGAGCGTTCTGGGCAGCTGGAGTGTGCGTTGGGGGTAGGGGTGGGGCAGTTCAGTTTGGGATGAACAAGAGTGGATCTGTGTGTAGGACCATTGGTCACCTGAGATTGTATGTTTGGGGTTGGAAGTTTTAGTTTTTTTCACTAGTTCCAGCCTGCCCTGGAACTAGTGAGAAAAGTTTGGGGTTGGCCACAATCCCTGCTGCTATCTCACTGTAGCTAATCTTGCTAAATCCCCAAGAATGAATCTGTTTCTTATCCTGGGAAATCACTCTGCAATCTTCCAGGTGCTGGGCCTTTTTCTTGATGGTCTTGAGGCTTTCCCCTACCTCCAGGCAGCCTCACTTAAGGACTCCGATAGACAGGGGAACCTCCCAGTTTTAGGAAAGAGTCACCCACAGTCCCTTTTTGGGACTTCCAAATCTAAGGGTCTGGAGCAACCCAGAAGGCTGAAATCAGAAAGACTGAAATTCCTGTTATCTCTGTGGTCTTGGGTAGTTCATGTCCCTAAGCCTCAGATTTATTCTATATAAATTAGGCATAATTCAACCTTTTTAAGATTTGCTGGGGACCAGTGCTGTGCCTTTACTACAGCTGAGGTGGGGTTTTGTATGAGAACTAGACTAAATCCAGGGACCTCTGTCAAGGTGACAAGCAGGGCACTGGGTGAGGGAAGGAAGCTGAGAAGCTAGGCCTGGGCCTACCACCCCGCAGCCTGCTCCGGAACTAAAAAGAGGAAGTTATCGTGGATGGTGGTGGGTGTGTGTAATCCAGGGTCTAACCACCTAACCTAAGAAGGTCTGTTGGATAATTGCTCAAGGACTTTCTATTTTGACCTGGGGGAACTTGCACCAACTCTGGGGAAGTTAGGATTACTTTAGTGTGAAGTTAGAGCCCTTGAAGGGGAAGTGACTTGCTGAAGGTCATAGCTAGTACAGCTTTTTGTTTCATCATGCTCTGGAGCCAACCCTGTCTGGGGCAGAGGTGAATCAATCCTAGGCCCCTTGCATCCTTCAGGACCCTCATCAGGCAGGACTCAGCCATCCTGTTGCCAGCAGTAGGGGTCCTTCTGTCCTTGGGAGAACAGGTCTTCTCCTGGGTGACATGGTGGTCTATGCCAGCACTAAAGGTCCTGTAGAGATGCACAAACAACTCTCAGGCAAGGGGCACAACCCATCCACCAGTAGCTGTCTCAATCCCAGCATCCCTGGACTCCTGCAGCCTTTCTAGCCATAGGTAACTTGTATGCTAGGGGTTGGCTGGAAAGTGTCTATCTCTGCCCCAACTCACCCTCTTGCACCCCCAGATAATCATCTCCTAGAAAAAGCTGAGCTGTTGGCCAAGTTCTCAGAGAAGCTTCATAAGAAGCCAAATGATGTTACTTCTGCCACCCATCAGAGCTTCTGGTAAGTATATGTATCAGTGATCATAAAAGGCTGCCTGTTTCTAGTCCCTCCTGCCCACCAGCCCCCATGCTGGGTCATATTCTCCCAGCACCTCAATGGCTCCTGGCTGCTACTCAGGGGTGGTTCTGGAGAGGCAGGCCCTCCCCCAGGCCAGCTGCTTTAAAATCTCCTTTCTCCTTCTTTCTCTGCATTTTCCTATCCCTTTCACCTCCTAACCCTGCACTCCTATCTTTCCCCCTTAGCCTTTTTCCATCTCCCTGTTCCTTACCTGATGCCTACAGAAAGGATCTTGCTCCCTATTCCAAAGAGAGAGAGAGTGAAGACTAGATCAAGGAATGGGTTGGGGCTAGAGTTAGCAGGTGTTTTTTGAGGAAGGTCCTTGGCAAGGAAACACAAGGCCAGAGCACAGGACTCCTGAAAGCTCATTTCTGAGATTTGCTCTTTCCTTTTTTTCTTTTTGTGGTGCTGGGGATGGAACCCAGGGCCTCTCCTATGCTAGACAAGCACTCCACCACTGACTGCTCTTCAGTCCTTGCTTTTTCCTTGAGTGGCTTTCAGGCTTCCATTTTCCTCAAGAAAAAGTTAACGGCTCTTATTTCAGGCTTTTCATGGGACACTGGGAGCCTTTGAGCATTGGGGTGAATGGAGGGGACATAAGCACCTCTCTCTGGTTGGTTGGCAGGGAGGAGTCAGGGCCTGACTCAGACCAAAGCTCACCACCAGGCACTCTGAGGGTGAAGTGGCAGGAGGAGGAGGAGGAGGGGCTCCGCTTGGACTGTGGTGAGGTAAGCTGGGAAGGGATCAAGAATGGGGCAGGGCCAGGATCCAGGACTTTGGGGCAGGGAGATACTGTCAAGGGAACCAGGAAGTGAGCAGAACTTCCTGTGTTTGCTGCATCCCCTAAAATCTGGTGCTGCAAGCACTGAGTGAGCCCTAGTATATCAGGCCTGGAAATGAAGCTGGGAAGGGTGTCAGTGTGCCCCTTGCAAGCCCTGGATGAAGTGGGTTCCGACATTGGCTGGAAAGAGTGAGACAAGACTTCAGGGAAGTGGATGACTTGTGTAGGGGCCTGGCAGCCTGTTCCCCCTTTTAGATGGTTTAGCCTACTCTGCTTATTCCCCCACTCACGTGCCTACTCTTCACCCCTTGTCCAGGCAACCCCAGGGCCCAGCATCAGGTGATGGTTAATATATACTTGCAGACAAACAACCAAGATTGATGTAGTCTGTAGGCAGGACTTGGCACTTCCACCTAGCATTACTGCCCTGCCTGTCCCCTGCAATGGCATCTCTTGGTTTCTGTTGTACCCTACTTATTTCCTCTGATTTTCTTCTTATATCTGTAGATTTTACTTCTGAGTTCCTTCTCTGGCTCCTTTCCTTCCTCCCTTTAAATGTGGGTGTTCATTTGGGTGTGCTCATTGGCTCCCTTGGCCACAGGGATTTTCTCTTTCTTTTTCTCTTCTGACTCTCGGACCTGTCTCTACCCAGCCTTCTTTTCTGCACACTGGACTCTTGCTCAGCTGAGATATCACATCTAAAATCATCTCCAGCTCTGGGTGATGGTGCACCCATAATCCCATGATTCAGGAGGTTGAGGCAGGGGGATTGTGAGCTCGAGGCCAGCCTAGGAAACTTATAAGACTCTATCTCAAAATAAATAAATAAAAAGAGCTGGGGATGTAGCTCAGTGGTAGAGTACTCCTGGGTTCAACCCCTAGGGCCACAAATAAAAATAAATAAATAAATATAATAAATGAAGTCACCATCTCTTCCATAATATAGCACTTGGCACTAGGCAAGCATTAGCTTAGTTAATTCTCTACATTGTAGGTACAGAGGGGGAAACTGAGGCTTAGAGAGGTGGATTCTAGATTTGAAACTCCACCCACACAAATCTACTTTTTGTGATTTCTTCATTCTTTCAACAAATATTTATTGACAGTCGCTATGTCCAAGGAACAGGGAGTGCAGCTGTGAACAAACCTGGCCCTGTGGAGTTTTCAAGGGAGGAGAGTGTGATGGGCCAGTAAACATGTGTCCAGTTACAGTAAGCCAAGTCACCTGCCCAACACAAGTGTGGGAAGGGGCTATAGACAAATTGAGAGCCTCTCCCCCAGAGCTGATGCTGTGGTTGCAACTTGATAATGGTGTGACATTATGCCATAACATTTGTAGATTTGTATTCATCAGGATACAGCACAATTTCTTTTTTTTTTTTTAAATATTTATTTATTTATTTTAGTTATTGGCGGACACAACATCTTTGTTTGTATGTGGTGCTGAGGATTGAACCTGGGCCGCACGCATGCCAGGCGAGCGCGCTACCGCTTGAGCCACATCCCCAGCTCATATACAGCACAATTTCATCACCACCAGACATCCTTCTTGCTATCCCTTTTTAGTCACACTCACCCTTCCCCAAACATCCTTAACCACTGGTAGTAACCACTCATCTGTTTTCCACCTCTATCATTTGAATTTTTTTCCTATCATTTGAATTTTGACAAGTACCAATAAAAAAATATTGAGTGGTATAACACAACAGAAATGAAAGCAAGTGATAGGTGACGAGGATGGTGATTAGGTTGCTCAGTGGTGAGAAGGATTATAAATATTGTAAATTGGACCAGCTATGAAAGTAGGGGCCCTGTCTGCATGTGCAGGGGGTCTTCCCAGTCCCTTACCCAGGGAGTTGTATCAGTGCAGGTAGACAGCCTCAGCCTCGCACCTCAGTCCATCCTTACCAAGCCCTTGTGAGAAAGTAGCAGGAACAGATGTTAGCAATAAGAGTACCCCCCCACACCCGTCCCTTCTTTGTGATTATTTGCTGGGCCAGAGGTGCTCAGAGTCTGGCCCTCATTTTCCTCTTACCACACTGGTGGGCACTGCCTTGCCTTGGATCTGTTTCTCTCACTGACCCCTCAGCATTGAAAGAAGGGAACCAAATTTCATCTTCATGGCTGGCCCATCTCTTGGCTCTGGGGTTGAAGGAATGTGGAGTGAGGCAGGGGTAAACATGTAATGATTCTCACCCTACTTCCGGGCTGTCAGGGCAGCTCTAGGACTCAGTCTGGGTTCAGTACTCTCACAGTCCATTCCTGTTCTTAGCCTTGTGTGCTTCTGTATTCTGAGATCTGTGCTTGGGCAGGCCAGCAGTTGGTCAGGGATTGTAAAGAAAGCCAAATGTTGGAGAGGCAGGGAATAGAACTCACATCCCTTGAACCCTCCCTGTAGATCAACACTTTACTTGGAGCATGATGTAGTTAAGTAGCTTGAGTTCAAATATCAACTGTCACTTAGCTGTGTGATTTTGGACAAGGCATTTAACTTCTCTGTAGCAATGTTCTCATTTGTAAAACGAAGCTGGTGGGTTTACTATATGGTGTTATTATGGGGATTAAAAGAGTTAATATGTGTAGAGTGCTCAGAATAAAACATGGCACGTGTAAATGCTAGATAACCATCTGCTATTATTTTAAATATTTTTCTTTATAATAGTTCTGGGTTGCTCTATGGAGGTAGGGTGAGGGTCATCTCATCTGTACCCCTGCCTCATTCAGCATTCCTTCAACCCTATGGAGGTAGGCACTATCATTCCCATTTTGCAGGTGAGGAAAACGAAGCTTGCTAAGGAGATTCACTTTCCAAGGACTCTACACCCCTAGGGTCACAGAGAAAATAAGTGGCACAGCACAGCTAGAATTGAAACTCAGGAGTCAGACTTCTGAGCCTAGAGCCTCTGTTGCATCCTTATGCACGATCCTAAACTCATCTGAGCCTTGTTGGGAAGGGGCCGTGGAAGGTGGTGGCAGGCTCTGTCCCTCCAGCCTCTCCTGCCTGAGAGGGGCGTGAAGCCTGGTGTGAGCCCTCCAGAGGTGCCCATGACCACCTGTCCGCCCCCACAGATGGCCTACCAGGTGGTGAAGAAGAGTGCAGCCTTGGATGCCCTGCAGTCGGAGCTGGAGGAGCGGCAAAGCAGGTGAGTACCGGTAGGGTGAAAGGGACCGCGCCCTCCTCTGCCCCAGGTAGGGTTATTGCGTGGCCCCAACAGCTTTCCCCATGACTACCAAAGACCCCTGGTTTGTGTTTGGGGGATGCGAACTGCACGGCTCTGAGGGCGAAGGCTTGGCTGGGGACTTGGCTTAACCACCTGGCTGGCCGGTGGCCATGGGTAGATCTCTCTGGGGTCTTAGGCGGGTCCCCACTGGGCGGTGATGGAAGCTTTTTGGGATGCACTGCCTGCGCTTCGGGTCCTCCAGGCTGGCGGCTGTGGAGGCCCGCGTGGCGCAGCTGCGGGAGGCGAGGGCGCAGCAGGTCAGCCTCGTAGAGGAGCTACAGAAGCAGAATGCGGCGCAGCGGAAGGCCTACGAGGTGCTGCGCGTGCACACTGGGCACCAAGAGGCGGCACTGCGCAGGCTCCAGGAGGAGGCGCTCAATCTGCTGGAGCAGCTCTTGCAACGCAAGGAGCGCGCCGCAGCGGAGTGCAACTTGCGCAACGAGCGCCGAGAGCGGTAGGAGGGCTGGGCCCCAACCTGTTCTGTGGCTAGCGTCCTCAGAGTCTGGCCTCGCCCTTGCCTGAAAGGCAGCGGTGGGGACTGCCCCCTGGGGAGAATGGACTAAGTCAGGCTCGAACCTGAAGGCAGGGGCGTTTGGTACCCCGCCTTGGAATCTTCTGGCTCCTAGGATGCTTTTTTCCCCACTAGGGCCAATCAGGCGCGGGTGTCCCAGGAACTAAAGAAGGCTGCCAAACGGACTGTGAGCATCAGCGAGTAAGAGTGAGGAGGGACCGGATCTGACCCCTGTACTCTGTAGCTGCCGGACTGTCTGCCCATTTTTCCATCTTCCCCACTCCCCCACACTGGTACACCTGACTGCATGTGGACACAGCAGCGATCCAGGGTCCACTGGATCCTTGAAGATCTGTGTGAGCAAGTTCATGTGCCCACCGCACATCCTCCTTTCCACTCGGACCCTTCCATGCTCGGAATTCACATCTTCACCGTAACCAGTGCTTGGGCAGGGAGGGGCTGGCCTGTTGCTTTGGTCTTCCTGAGCTTTATTCCTCTCTCCCAGGATTCCACACACTCTACATGATGGGATCAGAGATCAGACAGAGACTCTGGCTCTGGCTATTAAGTCTGAGTCCCTGGAGAGTGAGGCTTGTGGGAAGTGGAAAAGGCCTTTCAGGTGAGGACCCAGTTGGCTGTCTCAGAATTCTGAGGCTGCCATTGTCTTCTTCTAGGACCTGGGGCCAGCTGGTGGGTTGGGGCTAGGAGTTTGGGGAGAAGCTGGGGTACAGCCCAGGACTGGTCTGACCTACAGTGCTTGGGGTAGTTGGGGTCATTTTCACTGAACATGCACTGCTTTCTCTTCTTCCTAGGACCAGAGCTCTGGGGTGGGGTTTAAGGCTTGTGAAGGGGTGTCATGAGGAGGGAACTGTGGGCAAGGCCCAGGGCTCATCTGTCCTAGGCATGTATATATGTAAACACAGGTGTGTGCATGGGTAGGTATACACAAGGACATGGGCATATGTATGCACGAGCTTGGTTGCGAATACCTTAGTGTGTATGAACATAAGAACAAATGTAGATGTTTGCTCACACTCTCAGTCCCCCCAAGTCTTGATTTACTTGTCATTGAGGCTGCTCTCTCCTGGCTCCATTTACCAGCCTGAAGGCTCTTCTCGTCAGTCTTTTCTTGTAGGTCCCTGGTGTCTAGGTCCTGGGATAGTGAAGGAACCTTGCGGAGGGGCTTGAGAAACAGGTCTCCAAAGTTCTTGGCAGCCCTGGTGGGCTGAGACATCCCAGTACAGTTGGGCATTTCTGAGATTACTCAACAAGCTTAGGTTTCCCCTCCTCACTGCCCCCAGCCTTGTCCCAGCCTGAGGCCACTTCATCTGCCCACTCCCATATGCCCTAGCTCAGCCTCCCAGGAGCTTTTGTATGTGAGCATTTGCTGAGGGTGGGGGATTTGGTAGTTCTTACCATCATGGTAGAGACTTCCATTGTCAAGTCTCTCCCTGCTTGCATTTTCCTGGGTTGGTCTGGCTTACAACCCTCCTGATCTTCAAGGAGTCAAGTTCTTGTTCTAGGCTCTAGAGATTATGAGTCCTCAGATCTCCAGCAAAGTATAGGGATGAATGATTGCTATCTGCACACCTACCAGCCAGTCCCTTAGCACGTGGTTCTCGGTTCTGCCCCAGGTCTGCCTCAGCCACCTCTCTGACTCTGTCCCACTGTGTGGATGTGGTGAAGGGGCTGCTAGAGTAAGTGTGTGTATTTGTGTATGTGAAGGGGTTGGGCCTGTTGGAGCCTCATGTCAGGCTTCTGGAGCCCAGGCTTGGTCTCTGTATGTGCCTCGTCTGTTCATCCATATGGTGCCTACTGTCTGTGTGTATCTCTTTTGGGCCCCAGAGGCAGGAGCCAGGTGTATGACCTCATTTTTAACCCCTACTCAGCTATCTTCCAGGCTCATAAGGGATCTGTCCTTATCCAAGGTCCTCACAGGGGACCAAGAGTTCCAGCCTGAGGCCAAATGGGAACTCCCACTCAATTGGGAAACTAAGGCTCAGAAATGTAAGAACTCATTCAGTCACAAAGCCAAGCAGTGGCAAGGCCAATACTAACCATTAGCCCTGAAATTTCTCTGCAACCACCAATCCTGCCCTTGTTCTGTGCTTTTCTGTGTATTCTCCACTCCATCCCGGGTAGATTGGGTTGGGGAACAGGCTGGTTGGATCCTGGGGCCATATTCTGCTACTGCCATGTCTGTTTCCTGTTGCTGCTGCCTTTGGGGAGCTTGAAGCCCCCACATCAGAAGGCCTTGGTGAACATCCTCCTGACTCTACCTCTGCAGTTTCAAGAAGAGGAGAGGTCACTCAATTGGGGGTGCCCCTGAGCAGCGATACCAGAGCATCCCTGTGTGTGTGGCTGCCCGACTTCCTACTTGGGCTCAAGATGTCCTGGTAAGGGAGGAACTGGGCCACATGTGTGGGGGCCAATATGGGAGTGCAGGCACTAGGGGTGTCCCGAGCAGGCCAGGCAAGCAAGACCCCCAGGACCAGCAGGAGTTTATCTCCACAGGCCATGGTGGGAACTGCTCAGGCTTTTTACAATGGGGGCATAGACTGGAAAGGGAGATGGGAAGCTGAGAGAGTAGGTGGCCCAATGAGAGTGTTGGGAGGCACAGTTGGGAGGCTGCTTCAGGGGACCAGGCAGAAATGAAGATATTTGCTGGGGCTAAGTTTGAAACTCAGGATTTGGGCAGAGACCTGGGGTGTGGATACCAAGCCAGCAGCAGGCTGTATGTGTGCACAGGCACATTGAGAGTGAGCCTGTGAGGGGGCACAAACAAGCATATGTGGGGAAGGCCTGGGTCACTAACCTCCCCTTTCCCCACAGGATGCCCACCTTTCTGAGGTCAATGCTGTATGTTTTGGCCCTAACAGCAGTCTCCTGGCCACTGGTGGGGCTGACTGTCTTATCCACCTCTGGAATGTGGTGGGAGGTAAGGACCCCTCCCTGCAGCCCAACCCAGTACTTTCTCTAAAGATCTACTCTCAGCTTGCTCCTGGGTGGGCATCTTTGTGTTTGCCTCTACCTGGAACATTCCTGTGAGCAATAGCTAGAGAACCCCTCCGCAGGAGCAGGACTCTGAGGATGCCTCTCCGAGGAAGGGTAGAACCCCTAGGCCTGCAAGATGGGGAGGGCTGAGTGCAGATGGGCCTCTGTTGGGGGAGGGGGAGGTCCCTTATCAGTCTTACAGGGACAGACCTTTGAGGAACAAGTCCTTGGGTTCACCAGGCCATCACCTCTTTTGGTATCACTCCACCTGCCAGAAGTCAGGAGACAAACATTGACTGTCCATCTTGTGCTAAGCTCTGTGTTCTATAACTGGGTTAGGGACTCAGAGCCAACCCCTGGGGGCTTCCTAGAGGAGGCAAATCTCCAGCTGGTCTGGCCTGGCTTGCTGTGTGACCTATGGACAGTCCCTTCTCTCTGGTTTTCTCTAGCCCTGTCTGGCAAATGCCTAGCTTCCCCATGAGACCCCTGCAGCCCAGGCTGTAACTGTACTCCGTGATTCTGTGCTCTAACTTAAGAGAGACTCCTGTTCCCACTCTGGGTTCCAGTTCCTCTATTTTGTGAGTGACCTCATTTCACCTGTTCCTTTCCCTGCTCTCCCCCTGCCCTGCCAGGTCGTCTGGAGGCCAACCAGACCCTTGAGGGAGCTGGTGGCAGCATCACCAGTGTGGACTTCGACCCCTCGGTGAGGGGACTTTGCCCCAGTAGCATGGGATTATCCCCCCACACCCCAGTCTCTATACCAGTGGGCAGAGGCTCCCATCAGTAACAGTATCCAAAAGCTGGGTCCTTGGGCTCTTGCATATACCATTCCTGCTGGCCTGAGGCTCGTTTGTCTTCCTTGATGACTTGGGCCATGGGAACCTTTAAGGCCACCCCTACCATAGTTCTCTGGACTGAAAGATGCTGCCTTTGGCCAGGCCTAGACTCAGACCTCTAACACTCCCCATCTCTCCAGGGCTCCCAGGTTTTGGCAGCTACTTACAATCAGGCTGCCCAGCTCTGGAAGGTGGGAGAGGCACGGTCCAAGGTGAGACCTGACTGGGAAGGCAGCCTAAGGGTCAAGGGTCCTTTTTCAGGAGAGGGAGGTGCTATTATGGGGTCTTGGCCATGCCTTTGATCCAGACTTGGGATGGGGGCAGGAAACACTGTCTGGACACAAGGACAAGGTGACAGCTGCCAAATTCAAGCTAACAAGACACCAGGCGGTGACTGGGAGCAGAGACCGGACAGTGAAGGAGTGGGACCTTGGCCGTGCCTACTGTGAGGCTCAGCTCCAACTCCACCTCCCATCCCCCCTTCCCTCAGATACAAGGGAACCTACCCTGCTTTCTGGGAGTGGCTCTGGGATTCAAAGACATTTTGGGTGAAACCTTCCAAGGTCATCCTTCTCTGTGCCCCATTGGTGTTCCCTATCTGATTTCTTCATGACTTTAAGCTTTGGGTAGATGAAGAAGAGGTGGACTGAGTCCTGGGATGGGAAGATCTGGGTTCTAGTCCTGGGAGAACACTGCCCCTTTTGGACCTCAGCATCTCTACGTGTCTACTGTGCTAGTTCCTGACAACCCTCTGAGACCCTGGGCTCTACCCCTTGGTCCCTAGGTTCCAGAACTATCAATGTCCTTTCCTATTGTAACGACGTGGTGTGCGGGGACCACATCATCATTAGTGGCCACAATGACCAGAAGATCCGGTTCTGGGATAGCAGGTGACAGGCAGACTGTGGGTGGCTGGTGGACCTGGGGTCAGAGTGCTGGAGTTCTTGCTCCTTGGCAGGAAGGGTCATGGTGGTTCCTTGGGGGAGTGAAGCTATGGGGCTGGCACCACCAGCTGGTATCCTCTGTTGGGCACAGCTCCTTGAGGCATAGCACCCCTGGGAAGCTGTGCCACTTTCCTTGTGACTTCTCAGTCCAGTACTGACTGCCTGGGCTTTACAACCAAGATGGACAAACAACTTTTTCCATTTTATTTCTACTTTTTTTCTGGTGCCAGAGATTGGACCCAGTGGTTCACTACCACTGAGCTACATCTCCAACCCTTCTTACTTTTTATTTTGAGACTGAGTGTTGCTAAGTTGCCCAGGCTGGGATCTTCCTGCCACAGGCTCCTGTGTAGCTGCAGTTATAGGTATGTGCCTCCATGCCTGGCTACCACGCTTCAATAAAAAAACCAATAAATGTTTTTAGTTGTTTTTTGAACAGAAGAGCCCAGCATTGGGTGAATGATTTACAAATGCAGAGCTGGAGCCAGTGCAGGGCCCATGTAGGCTGGTCTTGCTGGTGTGCAGGGACTGCCCTTTGAAGCTCTTCCTTCTCTCAAGTTTTTCAAGACAGACTTTTCATTGCTTTTCTTCCAGTGTTTATTTTAGTGATCCAAGGGTTTCAAGGGCTCCTTCTCAAATCAAAGTCTGACCAAGTTCCTCAGTGGAGGGAGCTGGGTGTAGGGATAAGGGAGATTAGTTACTGGCAGAGACCTGCCTCTGGACTTTGTTGGTTAGGAAGGGGACCACACCTAGTCCCTTCTTTTCAGGAATGGCTTGGGGGACTGTTCCTTACCCCTGTCTCCTCAGGGGTCCCCGCTGCACCCAGGTCATTCCTGTGCAGGGCCGGGTCACCTCCCTGAGCCTCAGCCATGACCAGCTGCACCTGCTCATCTGCTCCAGAGATAATACACTCAAGGTCATTGACCTCCGGGTCAGCAATATCCGCCAGGTGTTCAGGTACTAGCCTCTGCCTGTTGACCCTGTGGCCTTTATTGGGGCAGCTGTGTTTCTCTTTTCCTGTAAAAGTTCTCTGCCTTTCTTGACCAGGACCTGCTGAGGTACCTGACACCTTATAGAGATGGGGCTCTCAAAGCCCCTGGTTGGGGACAGGACTGGCAGTGATCTCCATTCTGACCCCAGCCCTGTTTGTCTTTAGGGCTGATGGCTTCAAATGTGGTTCTGACTGGACCAAAGCTGTGTTCAGGTGTGTCTGTAAGAGCTTGCCCATCCTCGAGTACACCCCACCTGGTCCTTGTGTGTGTCCTTACCTGAGTCCCTTTCTCTTGTTCTGCTGTGGCCACTGCAGCCCTGACAGAAGCTATGCACTGGCAGGCTCCTCAAATGGAGCCCTTTTCATCTGGGATGTTGACACTGGGAAACTGGAGAGCAGCCTTCAGGGCCCCCACTGGTGAGCAGACACTGCCCTCCTACTAGTCCTGCCTGACACCAGGTTCTAACATCTCCCAGCCCCTGTCTCCAAACCTTCACCCCCCCCAGCCCTTCACAGCACCCAGGTATCCTTCCACATGTGTTTTATAGATACCCACTTTACAGATGAGGAAATGTGCTCACAGAGGGCCTCAAACTATCTAGGTCCAATACTGGGGAGCAGAGCCAGGCTGCAGACCTGGCTCCTGCTGCCCCTTGAACCCTACTCTCCCTCTCCTCAGTGCTGCTATCAACGCTGTGGCCTGGTGCTGCTCCGGGAGCCACGTGGTGAGCGTGGACCAGGGCAGGAAGGTTGTGCTCTGGCGCTAGGACTACGCCCCCAACAGCCTGGGCTGGAGAACAGCTTCCCTCCGCTTCACAGGGCTCCAGAGCCCACAGGATGGGGATGGCTTCCAGATTTAATGGGGAAGAAGGCCCAGAAGGACTTGGCGTGTTTGTTTAAAAACAGTGTTCTTGTTTTAAAAAGTCTTTTTAAAATATGTATCTCCTCACTTTTCCTCTCTAAAGTTGGGGGGAGGGTGACTAACAAAATTGTCTGTTTGCATCTTTGCAGCATTTGTGGGGTACAGGGAGACCTGGGCTGGGGGCTCAGGGAAATCTGGTTTGGTCTCCTTCCTCCTCCTGCATAGAGCTGTTTTGGCAGAGCCAGCCCAGCCTCTGCCCAGGGACACAGGTTGCCCAGCTTAATCATGCAAACAGCATGAAGAATGGCTCAGGACAGCCCAAATCAGTGCCTTTCAGAGCCATGGAAATGTAGCCTTGGGTCCAACCTGGCCCTGAGGCCAAACCAACACAGTGGGCTGAAAAGGGAGCAAGCAGCCCATGGGGTCCTGGTGGAAAGGATCCTAACAAACAAGAGTGATATCAAAGTATTTGGTACACTGGGCAAGCCTTTACACTGGCCCCCTTTCCTCCTCCAGAGGCAGGGCCCAGGTAGAGGAGGGCAGCTTAAGCCTGGGCCTTCATTTACCTTGGCATCAAATTTCACCCCCACAATATGCCTCAGTCCAGGCTGAACTCACAGGGCAGAACCCAGCACCCCATTTCTTTCTGTAGCCTAGGGCTTGGCACAGGTCAGTGAAGACAGAAAGGTATTGGCCAAATGGCAAAATCTACTCTCATTGCTCCCAGATTGCCTACTTCTCCTGGCACGGCAGTCCTGAACTCTGGATGCCATACTCAGCTGCCTCCTGTCATCTGTGCATGTGACCTCTGTCCCTCATAGTACCAGATCCTGAGGCTGCTGTGCCTCATGCTTCTCTCCATCCCTGCTGCCACTACAGGCCACCTTTTAGACTCACTGTCTCCTCCCAGTACCCTACTTGCCAGAGCCAGTGACTTTCTAAGTTTCCAACCCTTTGAGTTTTCCCTGCTGCCTTCAGAAGAACCCCTCAGCTTGAAATCTAAGCCTTTGGAAGCCACCCTGTTGGCCTGCATCTTCATTCCCTTGCTATTCTGAATGTGACTTACATGTACTTTTCTCTGTCCAGAATGTTCTTGTCCCTCCCAGCCCACAATTAAAATTCGTCCTTCAGGATTCCCCCACTGAAAGCCCTTTCCTCATCTACCAGGCGTGGTCCTACCCTTTCTTGTTTGTTATCAGCCTCCCTCCATTATAAGCCATGGAGCTCTTGAAAGAGGCCAGGATGGGAACAGAATGTTCCCTGGGATCAGGCCTGGCTCAGAGAAACCTCAGGGAATGTTTATGAAGTCATTAAGTTCTCCTATGCAGGCACTCTGTGAGTTCAATAATCTAGCTCCCTTCACCCCTGCCCCAGCCCTACTGCTCTGGTCCCTAGTGGCCAGCAGGGGTCACCAGCTGTCTGGTCTCTGAGGAGTCCTTTCACCAGCCTCCCCCCAGAGACTGATGGCTGAAAAAAACCAATGATGTCCCAGCGGCCACCATTACTAAGTACTTAACGTGTCAGCCTCCAGTGTACTTCCCGTAATTTCATTTGTTCCTCTCAACCAACTTGTGATATGGTTATCACCTATTTTACACATGAGAAAAGATGAGGCTCAGAGGTTGAGTCAAGATCACACTTGCACACACCTGCATTGTGACTGCATTCATCATACAAATGTCAGACTTTAGGCTCCCTGGGCAGTGATGCATCGTGCCCCCCACTTCAGCCACAACTGCCACCACTACCAGAGTGGGGGTGATTCCAGCTCTGTGTCTAACTGGGCTCCCTCCCTGCATCTTCTGTCTTCAATTCTGACCCTTAAAGCCAGGAGGGTTAGTGTCCTTCAAAGTGAGGGGCAGGCAGGAACACAGGAGAGAAGGAAACTTGCCTTTCAGATTAAGTGCCTCACTGGAAGGCATAGCTCAGCAGATCACAGACTGCTTAGATAGCCCAGGAGAGTGGGACTCGCTCTCTGGGGCAGCAGTCTCCCTGAAGGCCTTCCTTCCACTTATGGGAGCAAGCCTGATCACACACTGTGGGATGGTGTGGCCTCACGGAGTACATGTCCACCTTAAATTTCTGTGCTTCCTGGAGGAGCAGGTCTGAAAGGAGAGGCAGGCTGGAGGGAGGGGCCACAGACTGCCCAGGGCAGGTGCTCAAAGAGGCTAATGATAAAAACCCCTCTAGGCCTTTCAGAAGTCAGTGCTCAAGTTGTTTTTTTAAAAATATTTTCTTAGTTGTCAATGGACTTTATTTGTGGTGCTGAGAATCGCACCCATTGCCTCACACATGCTAGGCAAGTGCTCTACCACCAGTCACAACCCCAGCCCTTTTCTTTTTATTGGTAGTGCTGGGATGGAACCTAGAGCCTCATGCAGGCCAGGCAAGTACTCTATCACTGAGCCACACCCCCAACCCTAGTGCTTGGGTTTCTAGTACTCAGGCATTTGGGTGCTGTCTGCCTGAGTTTAGGTCCCTAGTCAAACTGGAACGACCTGTACACTTGCCATATACGTGAACTGATGCCCAGGAGAGAGCAGGAGCTTTTTCTGGGTCACACAGCAGAACTGAGGCAAATCACAGTGGCTTCCAGGCTCTATATTGCCATCTGTGAAACTTCCTGTCCCAAGGCTCTCCCCACCCCATCAGCCAGGTGACATAGCTCTTCTGTAGGCCTAAGTACCTCCAATTGCCCTGCCTAATCTGAGGCCTTAAATGACAGACGCCCTTGTTCTGGTACCTACTACCCCTTGGTCATCTCCTAGCCCTGGCTCCTCTGTTTTCTTGAGACTCCCCCACTTTATGTGAGCCTGTTTGTGACAGGGGCTGAACTCCTTTGCCCAGAACATAGCCTGGTACAGTAGTTTGCTGAATGGACAGAGTAACAGAGCTGGTTTCTGAAGGAATCTTGACACAAGGTATGGACCCACTTGGTGAGAGTGTGTGAATATTTCCATCTTCAGACATACCACCTCTGGTTTTAGGCTTTCTCTGAAGTAATATCTTCAGCTCATCTGTACATTATCTTATTTGATCCTTTTGGACTTTAGGAAGTTTGCATTACCTTCTCACTCCTACCTTCCAAGATGAGGAAAATGAGGCCTAGAAAGGTGAAGGGCTGAGCCTCAGCCCCTCAGGGCAAATCTGAGATAGCTCAGGGCTTGCACACAGGTCTCTTCCCCACATTTCTTCCTGCCCCTCCCAGCAGCCAGCTGTGGCAAGTGTTTGGTACAGTGTGGAAGGGGTGTGGACCCTACTCATGGGTTCATTTCTGCAATGCTTCAGAATAAAACACTTCAGGAAGATATTCCCAGATCAGAGTTCTCAGAAACAGACATGGCAGAAGGACTATGTGTGTTTTTTTTGGCCACTGGGACCAAGGGAAAATAGTCCAGGAACAAGATGCTCTTTGGCATTCGTATGGTTCTTGGCAGATCAGGCAGGAACAAAGCAAACACAGGAAGAACCTAGGTGGAAACTCAATTGGTTGTGTCAAGTGGTGGGGTTTCAGGACAAACTTTAACTCTCTTCTGAAAGGAAAGTGACCACAACACTCGGAGCAACCAAAAGATCTTTATTGCAGCAGTGCAACAAAGAGAAAGGAAAGAAGGAAAGAGAGAGAGAAAGAGAAGAGATGAAGAGGGAGAGAGCAAGAGCAAGAGACAGAGAGTGCGTGCAAGAAAGATAAAGAGCAAGAGAGAGAGGGCAAGAGAGAGAGAGCAAGAGAGGGCAAGAGAGAGAGCAAGAGAGAGAGGGAGCAAGAGAGAGGGGGGCCTGGCAGGAGGGAGTTTTTATAGCCCAAATCTAATGGGGCCTCTGAGTCTGCAAGCTGCCTTGTTGGCCCAAGTGGGGGTTAAGTGTTCAGCCTTAAGCAGGGTTGATTGTTCAGACTTGAGGCAAACAGGTGATAAAGGACCAGATAGAGGGGGGTTTGAGTGCGTGGGCTATCTTGCAGTCAACATCTGTTCAGCCTTCCCTGCAGACAACACAGTTCAGCCTGCTCTGCACCCAACATCTTCCTTTTAATCTAAAAATTTCTATTATTTGGTTATATTTCTGTCAGGAAAAACTTTATAATGAACAAAACAAATGCAGAGGTTTCAGAGCTGCCAGATTTTGTCATAAAGCTACTTGAAGAGGGCTGGGCAGTAACTGGAACCAAAACCAAAAACTGTGGCTGGGTTCCCTTGGCAGTGACTAGTACAGCCTGGGATGTCATTACAACCTGGAGCACGACAGTTTGTCCCAGTGGATGAGTCCAATTGCTGGAATTTTCTTTTCAATTTCTTGTTATTCTAAGAATTCTTCAGCCATGGCTGGACAGTGTTGGTGGTGGAGTGGTGAGCATGCTTGCCTTCCAAGAAGCCTATCTACATGGTCTGTTCTTAGCTATGGTGACCTTCTGTGTGATATTCTTACTTGTATCTTAGAATAACTGAACTGATCCAGAATAAGAGTTGGATAAACTCTTGGAAATCACCTCATTCCAGTCCTTTTAACGTTGGGGTTGCAGCAGCTTGGAGGGAGGATCACTTATTTAACAGCGTCAGGGCTGAAGCCAGATGACATCACATGGTTTCTGTGTGGCTTGTGGATGTGGGCTGGGTGGTGGGGTCAGAGAGGAAGTGCTGCAGGTCATATGCTAGGAGTCTGGCTTGACTGCATCAAGCTTGTTCCTAAGATGAAGGAGGCCAATGGTTAGCTGTGACACTGGGATGGGGCAATTAGCTGAACTTTGCCCCTGGTCACAGACTAAGCCTCCAGTGCTAACAGCCGTCTCAAATGTGAGCAGCCTGCACTGCAGAGAAAGCAGAAGATGGAAATATTCTGTGTCCCAGATTTATGGCTGGACACCTCACACACATCCCTTCACACAGGCCTCTTGAGGGACCTGTGTGTTCCTGTGCAGCAGGAGACTATCGAGGATCTCAGTTATGAAGGTGAGGACCCAGGAGGTGGGAGAAATGATGTGAGGAGTTTGTGGAGACCACCCTGTGCTGCATACTTGATATATCCTTCTTGGGACCAATAAAATGTCCTTATACACACTCAGTTCATTACTTCTTAGGATGTAGCTGTGGGAAAGGGGAGAAGCATCCAGAATGACCACATCCAGGAAGCCAGCGGTCACATCCTCCAGGCTCCCTCCTTAGCTCACCAGCATGCTGCTGCCCTTTCTTTCCAGCATGTCTCATAATATTGTCCTCATTGTATGTAGCCGTCTTCTTTCCCCACTGGGAAAGAACCTTGAAAGCAAAGACCATTACTTATTTCTTTCCATCTTTAGGACCCAGGATATCATATCTGGCACAAAAGTGGTCTCAGGGTCTGTGTCCCATGGTGTATTTACTTGCTCTCTGAATTTGTTAAGTGCCGTAAAGGAGGGTCCAAGAGTATCTTTGTAAGAAACATGGTATTTTTGGAAAAGCCTGTTGAACTAAACCTTTTTAAAAGGAAACTTGGAAAACTTAATTCCATTTTTTATTATTCAATATTTTATACATAATAAATACAAATTTTTTACAGCCACTGTAAAGAAAGCGCATCTGCACAGAGACTCCTTCTGAGCCCTGTCCTGTGCATGGTGATGCTGGGTTACATGACCTGGAGGGAGGGATTATTTTTTTAAAAAGGAGGCATATTTTTACAACTTTGTTTTTAAAAATAAAATTAGCAGCTCTTCCAAGAAACATTTTAAGATCTAACAAAAGACTTCAACAACTTTCTGAAGTTGTGAAAAATCCAAATTCAAGGATAATTTGGCTAGCTAAAGAAAGAGTAGAAGACTGGGTGGCAAGTTGAACTGCTCTATTTAATAAGCACTTTTTAGATTTGTAACATTTCAGCAAATTGTAAAATCTTTAAAAAACCACCCTTTTAATTGCTTTTTTAAACTTAAGAATAAGTTTGATAAACATAAAAAGACCTCAAATAGATCAACAGCTTACAAAATGCAAAAAACCAAAACCATAGAGAATAGTCAAGGGGTATCATTACTGAAGTGATCAAATGAATAACTGAAAACTTCTTCGGTTCTGACCCTACATTTTGTCAAAAATCCCACGGGGATGTTTGGTGAGCATTTCAAGTTTCTAAAGATTCTTAAGAGGGATGGGATTTTCAAAGCATAATACAACTTTTGGATTAAATTCTAAAAAATCTGATTTCTTAGCAAAAACAGAAAAGCAACAGGCAAGCCTCCCTTAGTCCCTAGGTAACACACTCTCTACCTTCCATGGGTGGAAAGCCAGAGCCCCACGCTGTTCCCAGTGCTGCAGACTGCTGAGCACCCCTCCCACCCCCAGCTCTCCTGGGACTCGCAGAAGGCTCCTCTTCCTCATCAGTCTGCACTTGTGTGGGATATGCAGTCAGAGTCTTTTCTTGCTCAGGAAGCTAGTTTCCTCCACAGGCCCACAGGTTCTTCCTTCCTAGGAAGCATCAGGGAGGACCTGGAGGCTGCATTTTTCATGAGTGACAGCTTGTCTATACCAACAGCGATCAGGCTGTCTGGGTCAGTGCACTAGCTTGCGAACAAAATGGTGCTAGGGACCTCCCCGATAGAGAAGCTCAACAAGCAGGCATGTGTCCTTAATTTATCAGACACTCAGGTTCTAAAGATATTGGTCAGAGGAGTATATGCTGTAAAAACTGAGTTGAAAAATGTCCAAAGACAAAAAGAACATTAAACCGGCTCATTTCAGAACTGGAAGCTCCATCTCTGCTGTGGCCGTAGCCTCCTTTCTGTTAGTCTATGTGATGGGCAAGATGTGGCTACTAGTTTAGCCCCCTCCAGGTTAGCCCCACTAATACTAAATGAATGGCATAAATATTAATACAAAGGACACTGTTATTATTTTAAATCTGTTAGTTGTGGAAGAGATGTGCGTTAATGCAACTGGCGCTAATGCAACGGGCAGTCCACTTTTTCCCGGTATGGTTTCACTCTTCATCTGGGGACGAACTTCGGGGAGGAGCCAGCCTCTCCTGAATCCCTCCTTCTGTTTCCTTTTGGAGCCAACAGAATCCGATTAATACTTAATCAGATGAGCAAAAGCCACTTGAAGAAAGATGAGATCTTTGCCACATCCTTGTGGCCACAGTAATATACTGTACGAGCACACATGATCAGAATTCTGTGACTATTCCCTGGAATGAGGCCTGGACTGGAATCTCCTATAAAAACGGACCACTGTTAGGCATGAGGGCTGCTCCCCTCTGCTTCTAGGGCCCACTAGGATTTGTGCTATGGTAGGAGAGATGACATAGAAAATGACAACAAAAAAAAGGCACAAAATATTCAAAACATGGGAGGTGTTCGCCAGGCCACCCAGTCACAGAGAATCTGCCTTGGTTTTGCTCTGTTCAAGAGTCACCATCATGCAAAGGTGCCTAAACAACAGGATGGGCCAAACTCCAAGCCTGGCCTTGATTGTAGCGGTAACAAAGGGCAAGCCCATAGTCACACCAGTGTGATCTCCACATCCTCCATCTTCTCTGCTGGCCTCCGGTGGTTCTGTGTGGGTGGAGGGGGAGCCGCTCGGACCTGAGTAAGGAACAAAGTCTTGGTTTGTAAGTCAGCTTCCAGACTCAGGCTGGAGCATCTGCAAAGTCCAACCAGTCCTCCATCCAAGGACATGGGCACATACTTTCTGTGTAAATTTCCCACCCCGAGAAGCAGGTACTGTTCTGGATGAAATGTCAGGCCTACAAATGAGACTGCTGCCTGGGCTAAAAGCCCTGGGCACAACAGTTACTAAAGCCCTAAAATCCTTCTCCAAAGCTAAAGCCTGGAAGTGAAGGCAAGAGCGCAATACTTAGGGAAATAAGACATTTCAGCATGTCTTGGGAGTCAGTTCTAAGAGAGAAGGCTGGAGAGGCAGGCTGGGGCAAGAAATGAAGGGCCTTGTGAGACATGTTATAAGAAATCTGGGCTTGGGCTGGGATTGTAGCTCAGCGTAGAGCGCTCGCTTAGCATGGGTGGGACCCGGGTTTGATCCTCAGCACCACATAAAAATGAAGGCATTGTGTTGTGTCCATCTACACCTAAAAAATAAATATTTTAAAAAACCCTATATTAAAAAAAAAAAAAAAGAAATCTGGGCTTTATTCTGTAGGCAGGGGAGTCTTTGGTGAATTGTAAGGCATATCAGATCCATGAAAAGATGTCTCAGATAACAGTTTGGAGAAGAGATTGGAAGTGGGCAACACAGGACAAGTGAGCTGACAACATAGGAGACTTTCCAGTCATCAGAATGAAGGCTGATGTGAGCTTAACTAGATACCAGGAATGGTGGAAGCAGAACAGTGAAGAGTTTTGAGACCTGTATCCAAGGTAAACTTGGCAAGACCTGGTGATGACTGGCAGGTAGGCCAGGAAGGTCTGAGGGATGCCTCCAGAGCACTGGTAGGATAGAGGATCCATTCACCAAGACACGCAAAATGGAAGAAGGAACATGTCTTGGAGGGAAGGTAATTCACTAATTTTTGCTGAGTTTTGGGGGTTGGTGTTAGACATATAAATTGAGACTATCACACGTCTGAAGCTCACTGAGAGACATGATTCTGGGATTTGGTTCTCACAGTCATGGGAATAGATAGCTTGGGGAGAATATGTTGAATGGCTTCAAGAGAAGCAGTCTAGGGACAGGACCATGAAAAGTATCAGCAGAGATGGAGAGAGGAGGAGAAACCTGCTAAGGTCAATGAAAAGGAAGAGCTGGAGGTATAGAGCCAGCCAGCAAAGTGTGGTGGACAAGAAAATTAGCCCCAGTTTCTCCATTTCTTCTCTTACCCACCAGCCCATGTTACTATTGCCTCTTGCTTGGACAACTGCTCCACCTTCCTAATGGCTCTTGTATCAGTTCTGCCACCTTTTATTGGTCTCCACTTGGTAGCCATAAATATGTGTTTAAAATACAAAACTAATCACAACACTGCCCTGCTTAATACCTCACAATGGCTTCCAATCACATTTAGAATCAAGACCCAAGTCCCTGCCAGGTGTGGTGGCCCAGCCTGTAATCCCAACTACCCAGGAGGTTGAGGCATGAGCATCATAAGTTTGAGGCCAGCCTGAGCAATTTAGTAAGACTCTGTCTGAAAAAATAAATAAATAAAAAGGCCTGGGGCTATATAACTCAGTGGTATAGCACCCCTGGATTTATTCCCCAGTATATAAAAAAAAAACTTATTAAGACCCAAGTCATTAATAAGGAACTCAAAACACATCTGATGAATGAATGAACCTAGTGGTTCAAGGAATGGTGATAAAGGGTCAAGGAAAACAGAATTGCAAAGGGTCCACTGGATTACCAGTATGAAAGCCATGACCTTGAAGAGGAGTGGTATGGAACTAAGATGGCAGTAAAGTGAAGGGTGAGCATAGGTAACTATTTGTCAGAATATATCCCTGAGAACAGGAGTTCTTTGAGGTCATTTAGTGTATTTCAATGCTCCTCAAAGAGGCAAATACAGGCCTGGAAAATAGATTCTTAATAAACACTTGCTAAAACAATTGTTTCTATGTTACAATTATACTACTTCAATGTTCCTAGAGCTTGAAATACAATTGAAATACACCTACACAGAGGTTATCTTGTGATCTTACCATGTCAGTGAGAAGTGTTCCAGTATAAACTAAATGATCCAAGATGAATTGACTTTAGAGCTGTCGAGGCTGTTCGAGGTGGGAAACTGTAGAAACTTTTCTGGCACATAACCCACTTGGCCTTTTTAATCACTCTTTTTTTAAATTTATTTTTTAGTTATAGGTGGACACAATATTTTATTTTTATGTGGTGCTGAGGATTGAACCCAGTGACTCATGCATGCTAGGCGAGCATTCTACCTCTGAGCCACAACCCCAGCCCCTCAATCACTCTTTTTACCTTCCCAAATTCATTTTATCCTTGTTTGGCAACACACAGGGGCTGATTTGGATTTGGAAGAACTATGCAGTCTATAACCCTGCCAGCTAGGAGACTTACAGGCCGGAGTTTGCCATATGAGGTCTCAGGAGTTTGCCTTGATGCCTGTGAGAATCCTGGTGACTCAGCATGGAGGCTGTTTTCTAAGGGAGAGAATTAAAAAGCTCAATTTATGTGGTGTTGTGCAATAAAATGCACTCAGACCCTGCCCAGGAGGACCCTTACCATTTGTAGAAGGAGACCGGGGGAAGAGCTGGGCACTCCTCTTATCCGGGCTGGGGTAAGGACTGCTGGGAGGCTGGTCATACAGCGGTAGCGGAGGCAGGGAGGTTTGCGGCTTGAGGGAAGGAGAGATCTGCATCGAAGAAGGCAAGGTTACCAGGTGCTCTTGGCCTCAGGAAAGAGAGCTGGCTGCTTCTCTGCTGGTCAACACACATTCCTTTTCTCTGGGACTAAATTATGACTGTTAAAGCTTGTCAGCCTTTTGCTTGTCAGCAAATGGACCTAAAATAACTACCCCAAACCGTTTCATGATGCATTTAACAGTTTCCTATCATAGATCTCATTATATTACTGATTTTAGTTTATCTTCAAACAGTTACCAAGTCAAACCATTCTCTAAGCTTTTCTTTTTTAATTGAAAATATGATAAATTAGTCAATTCAACAAAGCTAAGGAAGAACAAAAAAGGGGACAAATTGTACTGTTTTTACATATGAAGATACAATAACTGGCTGAGCTTCTTGTACGTGAGGCTAAGTTATTATCATGCAAACAAGATTGGCAAACACTTTCTTTATTCTTCTACCTGCCAGGCTGCTGTAACAGATCCCCAGAGAAAAACTGAGCTGACTAAATTAGGACTTCCTGTAAATGCAAGTTTCCTACTGATGAGCAAAACCTTACAGACCCTTTATTGTGGGACAGGGGCTCTGGCAGGCCCTGGGCTATGCGGTAGGACTCTGAGTGTGATGGAACGAAGAGCCACCTCAGAGTTGTACCACATAAACTAACCATGGACATAACACATTCTCTCTCTGATTTGTTTTTTCTCTCTCCACCAAACTAACCTTTGATATGCTATATACGATTTAGTATTTTGGTTAATGGATTTACAGAATGCAGAAGAATGAAGGCATAATAGGGTCATACCCCACAAGGGTCTGACCGTCAAGTCTCTGGTTTCTGAAATTCAGCTATATAGACATCTGGCAATTGAGGACTGGAACAGGGAGGGTGAGGCAGAGAGACTACAACCCACTTTTGCCTGGTTCAAGAGACTCTAGGGAGTTATTTTCTTTAATCATGTTTTAAAGCAGCTGTTTTCTTTTCTTCTTTTTAGCAGTGCTGGGGATCAAACCTTGAACGTACTAGGTAAACATTCCACCACTGAGCCACACCTCCATCCCTTTAAACATTTTCAAATTCAGCTCTCCCCACTCTGGTACCTGAATCTCTTTCATCCATGGAGTATCACCATTTTCTGAGGCTGAAAGTTCTTCCACTAGCACCGATGGGAACACTCCAATCCGCCCATTGAATTCCCCTTCCCAGAAGCCATCATCATCTTGGTTCTCTTTGTTCAAGATACGAATGATTGCTCCCTCAGGAAAAGATAGCTCATCATCTGTCTGGCCCTCATAATCATAAAGTGCTTTCACAAAACAGACTAGAAAGCAAGAGAGAGACAAATCTGGTTAAGAACAAAGACAGTCAAGGCTGCTTTTGCAACCACCCCTATGCTCACATGACAACTCAGAGAGCACCACTCAAAGTTGTAATTTTTTTACTCACTGTGATCAAAACAGGGAAACAAAAGACAGGAAGAAAGTGCTTTTAAACCTACTGAAGGCTTACTCCTAGGGTAATACAGTTTAGGTCAAATGTGACCAAATAAAGAGTGCCTTGTTTCAGTCTTTACCACTGGCATCTCCGTTGAGGCTGCCTGAAACGAGTTCTGCTTCCGTGGAATTGCTGGATGTGTGTGACCGACTGTCCAAAGCGGCCAAGGACTGCAGCATGCTCAGTAGGCTGTTCGAGGTGGGAAACTGTAGGTACTTTTCTGGCACATAACCCACTTGGCCAACTTTATTTCGAGCCTGGGTAAAAGACATGGTTACAAAACAGGTTTGCACACACAAAGGTTTGGACAGGACATAATAAGAACCAAAACAAACTCCTAAAAATGTCACAAGAGGGGCGATATGAGCAAAGGAATATACCTTTACCCAGTCTTCCATATCTCCATCTTCAATCACTTCTAACACCTCATGTTCCTCAATGGTCAACTCATCTGGTTGAGAAGCCTGCAATGGAGGATGGTCATGGACAAAATTAAAAAGGTTAGATAAAGAGCAGATGTGAGCTGGTCAGAACAAAAACTGGGGATCAAAATACTGAAATGATTTTGAGAAACATAAAAATTTTAATGCTGTAAAACTATCATAATGAGGTGAAGTTTTACTCTAAAAAATGAAACAAAATAAAACTGCAACTAAAACTGGATCCTCAGGAGGCAATCAGGTCAGTGATCAGCACTGTATTGGAAGTGAAGGATGTGGGTTCCAGCTTCAGCTCAGGTACCTAGTGGTAAGTTACTCAGCCTCCATTTCTTCAAAATGACAGTCCTGCCATTCTCTCGAGGATGGGGGAGTTAATGTAGGATGAATAAGCACAGAACCATGACGACTTGGGAAGCACAGGCAGAGGAGAAGGCACTGAAACGGAAGTGCTACCAAAGGCTACCATGGAGGTGCATGGAAAATGCAAAGGGCTATGTACATGGATTGGATGGAGGTTAAGCAGTGCCGAGGGTTGATCTGGAATTGCTGTAAAATAATGGCCCAAAGAGGAAAATTGTGGGAAAGGCCATGATTGAGATCAGGCAAAATTTGGATTATGCTCTAATATTAGTATGGAGATTGGGCTGATCCTTGGAGGTTCTACACAATCTGTGATGGCTTTATTGTCCCTGATAGCACCAGTCACCAGATTTTCCCTCAGGACCACAAAACCTGAGAGGAGACTCTCAGAGGCTCCACAGAGGGGTTGGTCTGTTTGGCTTTGCTTCTTAAAGAGCCTTGTATGTCATATTAACAGGTGGGCTTGTGAGTATCTTCTGGCTCTCTAATAAACAGCTTTAAAAGCTTCCCCCACGTCCCAAGATCAGTTAAAATTGTCAACTGAGACCATATAGTTTTTCAAATCTCACAATTTCAAAGTGTAAAATATCTCCAAGTTACACAAGCAAAAATTGAGCAAGAAAGTTAGTCAGTTTCTAAGATTCACTTCACATTTTGCAAGCTTTAAACATTTCATCAAAACCCAGATTCTGAAGCTACCATAGCTCCTTAAGACAAAAACAGTCTTGAAAATGGATGATAAATCAGAGAATACACTAAGACTAGATTTTTTCCCCTCAGCATTAGGGTTTGAACCCAAGACCTCACATATGCTAGGCAAACACTCTACCACTGAGCTATATCCCCAGCCACTCCAGGACCAGATTTTAAATAAATTACCTCTTATGTCACTATATGAAACCCACTTATTTACTTTTTTTTTAAAGTGTAAAAGAGGATTTATTTAATTGAGAAGAGACAGAATTTCTGCAGGATGAGAGGGGACCTGATAGAAATTGTGTCATTTACTGTTTTTAAAAAAATTTGTTCTTTCTAGTTATACATGGCAGTAGAGTCAATTTTGGCCTCAATTATTCTTTTTTGAGGAAAATAATTTAGTTCTTTATTATTTATTGGGATGTGGACTGCAGCATTCTTTGTAAAAAAGAAAAATCAGGCTTAATGCATCTCAAAATTGGAATTAAATGAGTTAAGTCTATATGATAAAGATTCTCTATTAAAAAAGAAGATGTTTTATAACATTTAGTCTGAAGAGTGATAGGTAAGTTATTACTGTTCTTGAAATAAAAAAAGCCAAATAGCTTGGAGGATACTTTTTATATGATATTTTTATATAATTAATTCAGCATATACAAAAACAGCATCCTACAAAAAAGACAGCATACGAGAGAGCCATGTGACACTGCCAAGATCATTAGTCAATAGGAGGTAAATATGGGCAATTTCAGGATTTAAGCATTGGATAAATTGTTGAATGAGATAATTAGTGTTGGTCCACATTTACTCTTGATAGCTTTTTCAATGGAATTTCTTTGCTACTCTGAAACCATACCGTGTCCTGAATATACCAGTAAAAGGTACTTCTGTAGTAAAGCCGTTTTCCTAAATTACATGCCAAGACTTAAAAAGTCTCAACACAACCAGACCAGTCTCTACCCTGTGTGAGAACAAAGCAGGATATGTTGCTGTCCTTGTGCCACAGCCATTGAGGCCCAGTGCCGCAGGAGTCTTCTAGCAGAAGCAGACACTAGCATGACCGTGCCGCCACCACACACCAATGACAATTGTTGCACAAGGTTGTCCTCTACATGGCAATCAAGACCTAGAGTCTGGTCCCCGTGAGCCTCGGGGTGCCCTGGACCAGCACACTCTTCCCTGTGGTCTAGGTGCACCATGTTCTCTCTTGCTTCTATGCTTATACCCGGCTGCTCCTTTTGTCTGGCCTGCTCTGTTCCAGCTTTCCTGTCTGATGAATGGATTAGATTATTATAGGTATAAAAGTCTAGTTTCAGTCTTGTTTCTATGGGCAAGACACCATCTGAGTCTCAGTTTTCTTTCTTTCTTTTTTTTCTACCAGAACATAAGTGCCATAAAGACAGATTTTTGTCTGTTTTGATCAGTGCTACATCACAGCCTAGAAAGAGCAAAGTATTTGTATACAGAGATGCTCAAGTAATTGTTTGTTGAATAAATGGTGTTTTCTGATAATATCTTCTTTGTAGGGTTATTGAAGAGATTGAAATGAACAAAGAAGCAGTAGCTTCTCATGACTTGTGGCCCAGCTCTCTTTCTCAGACCACTGGCAATGAGTCATTTGCTTCTTCCTTTCATTAAGACTGCATGAGTCCATCTCACACTGACTACCATGGTGCTCTAGCTCGCTGCTAGTCCTTATGAGTTCCCTATTAGAATGACTTAAGGCGGGGACTGTATTTCTCACTTATTCCAACTACAGGCAGCAAGTGGTCAGTCAATGGCTATTAAATATATGCAAGGTCTCACAATGTCTCCTTAAGTCGTAATATGTTTCAGTCTGTTACAGAACTCCATAGCAAACTGTGAGCTATTATAAAGTAGAAGATAATGAAAGAACACTTCTGTTGTTGTTGCAGTACTGGGGATCAAACCTAGGGCCTCACACATTGCTAGGTAGGCACTCTACCACTGAACTATATCCCAAACCCTGAAAGAATATTTTGTATCTAAAACATTTTCTATATTGTGGCTCATTTCCTTAGGGTGGATTTTAATAAGGTTAAAAGTTATGAATACTTTTAAAGCTTTTGAATCTGAATATTAAATATAGCTTTTCTATGTTCTCACCAGGTCCATCTAGTCCTTTTTTATTGGTGTAGGCCATAGAAATCATGATTAGGCTCAAAGTCAGTCTCTTTCTTTTTTTTCCATTCATTCATTCATTGCAATGGAGTTTTGCTATGAGGATGGCCTTGAACACCTCGGTTTCAAGCCATCTTCCTCCTGCTTCACATTCTAAGTAGTTGGGACTATGAGCCTGGGCCACTGTGCCCAGCTGATCTCTCTATATTCTAATTTATCCTCCTGAGTGTCTATACAAAGACCAGAGTTATCTCCTTAAAGACCAGAATAAAAACCAAACTCCTGAGCCTGGTATACAAGGCCCTTTATTATCTGACAGCAAATGCCTTTAGATCTTCTGTTATTCCCCACCTCTCAGCGCTTCTACACATCCAAAAGTAAACTGTTCTCAACACCCTATCCTCTCATCCCAGTTTCCATATCTGCTGTTCCCTTTGCTTAGAACGATCCTTCCTTTCCCTATCCTCTCATTCTACCTAGAAAAGTCTAGATTATGATTTAATTTAAATGCCATCTTGTCTGTAAAATTTATCTAACTACTCCATAGTCTGTCTATTCCTGGAAGGCAGGGATAGTGTCATATTAATTCTTATATCACAAAAGTTATCACATATTGTGCACTCAGTTTTAGCTCAGTGATTAACTGACTAAATAGATTCTTTTTTTTTTGTATTGAGGATTGAACCCAGGGTGCTTAACTACTAAGCCACATCTCCAGCCCCTTTTTATATTTATATTTTGTTTAGAGATAGGGTCTCACTGAGTTGCTTAGGGCTTCACTAATTGCTGAGGATGGCTTTGAACTCATGATCCTCCTGCCTCAGTCTCCTGAACTGCTGGGATTACAGGCATGCACCACTGCACTCAGCCCTAAATAGATTCTTATAGTCTGGTTTCACAGAGATGTATCTGGGATAGATCAGTGGAGGTACTGTTGGATGAATGTGAGCTGTTTTTTTTTAATATTTATTTTTTAATTGTAGTTTGACACAATACCTTTATTTTATTTATTTTTATGTGGTGCTGAGGATTGAACCCAGGCCTCGCACGTGCTAGGTGAGCGTTCTGCCACTGAGCCACAACCCCAGCCTGAATGTGAGCTGTTTAAAACAATTTAGACATTTAGAACTCTCTCCATGTAAGGACCTTAATTAGTTTTGAAACTTTCAAGTAAATATAACAAGGAGAGGTGATATCAGAAAACATTCTGAACCCTAGTTTTAAAATATCCTGTAAAATATCCCCAAATTTCTTAGAAGATGATTTCAAATTTTCAAAACATTATCAAAACAATGTACACTAGGAAAAAAACCCTAACTTTTTAAAGAAAACAGTAAGTATTATGAATTTAAATATAATGAAACGATGTTAAACTCAAAAAACCCAGGAATAGCTGATATTGAAAAGTATATAATGCCAGCTTTTGGCAACACAGGACTGGAGAGTGGAGTGAGACTGCCCAGTGTATGACAGTTAAAGAGTCTCTCAGAACAGTCCCTCTGTTGTTATCCCTTAGCATTAACCTTTTCCCCTTGCTTTCTCTATCATATAGGGGCCAGAGAAGGATTCATTTGCTCATGCCTTCCTTACATCATTCATTTATTAATTTTACAATTATTAATCCAAGACCCACTGTGTGCCAGGTATTGTCCCAGGAGCTCATGATACAGAAAAGGTACAGACACAAAGTTTATACTTTCATAAGCCTTTAATGGGGAACCAGGCAAAGAAATATTAAGACAAGTAAGACTTAGAATCTGGCTGGCACTAAGAGCTATACAGTCATGTACCACATAATGACATTTTGGTCAACACTGGATCACACATATATAGTGGTCCCATAAAATTATAATGGAGATGAAAAATTAAAAAATAGCATTGTAGCCATCATGATGTCATAGTATAACATATTATTCATATATCTGTGGCATCACTAGTATAAACAAATCCACTGTGCTGCCAGTCATATATAAGTACAGCACACATAATTATGTATAGTATATAATATTTGATAATGATAATAAACAACTAGGTATTAGTTTATATTTAATATACTTTTAATCATTATTTTGGTGTGTAATCCTCTACTTACTAAAAAAAAAAGTTTACTGTAAAACAATTTATGCTGGCCAACAGTAGCCTTGTACATGTCATTTTTATTGCATCTCTTGTTTATCTTGTGCTTGATTTAATCTCATGCTGTTTTGTTCGTCATGGTCTGATGAACAGAAATAATATATCTCTACCACACAGGCTAGGTGTTTATTAGGCTATACCATCTAGATTTGTATAAGCTCACTCTACAATGTTTGAATGACGATAAAATCACCAAATGCTGCATTTCTCAGAACATATTCTCGTAGTTGAGTGAGAGATGACAGTATGGTGAACAAAACAGTGTTATGGGATAGAGTAGTAAAGAGCTAGCTATGTGTTTAGGTGGCTGAGGTGACCTTTGGAGGCTATTTGAGTTGAACTACAATGAAGATAAGGGCAGTCAACAGAGATATGGGGAGACACAGTTCTAATCAGAGGGAACAACAAGTGCAAAGATGTGTACTCAGGAAGGAACCTGGTACTTTTGAAGCCAGAAAGGCAGCCAGAGTGGCCAATGAGTGTGTGAAGTGGAGGAATGGCCTGACATAAAGCTGGGGAGAATGCCTGGAGTCCGATCAGGCTAGACATTACGGATTCCAGTGAAGAGTTTAGGCTGGGAAGGGTTTTTTAGGAAAAGGAATGGAATTAACATTTAAAGCTTAAAAAGGGTTTTTTTTAGAAAAGGGAATGGAATTAACTCTTTGTGTCAAAGATAATTCTAGCTGGAAAATGGATTGTTGGGAAGCTAGTGTCAAAGAAGCCTAATTATGAGGGCTCATCCCCATCTTATAACAATCAAAGCAACAGCCTAGACAAAGATGAGAGCAGTAAATATGATGAAAAGTGGATAGATTCAGGATATGTTTTGGAAGTGGGCACAACAGGACTGGCTGACAGACTGAATGTGGGAGTGAGGGAAAGAAAGGAACTGGAAAATTGAAACTCCATTTACTTTGTGTTGAATATAAAGTAATTGGAAAAGCAGGGCAGGGATGAGAGAGATTAAGAACTATTATACCAAACCAAGTTTGGAAATTCTGGCATCTGTTAATCCAGATTTCCTGCTCAATATGGACAAGAGGGAATTATATTAGGATGAGTAAAGGCAAAGTATTAAAAACTGCTTTGTGAAACAATTTTCTTTTGATATGAATTTTGAGGTTCATTCTAATGGAGGGTTTATGCCAAGCAGGCAATAGAGAGTAAGGGTAAGAGCTGTATTTACTGAATATACTGTATTTACTGAACTAGGTACTATGCCAAGTGCTTTGCTATAAAGGTAATCTCTCATTTAATCTTCACATTTATTTTACAATATTATCCCCATCATGTAGATGAGGAAACTGAGGCTCATAGAAATTAAGAGGCTGACTAGTGTAAACTCATGTAGTTCATAAGCAGTGAGACAGGATTTAACTCAAGCAATCTAATATCAGAGCTTAAACTCTTCATCATTATGTTTCGTTGCTTTAGATATTAACTGAATACTAACATTATGCTAGGCGTCCTGTGAGAAGCTGGGTAGACACAGTCACATGTATCTTTAGGTTTGTCACAATTTAATATAAGCAATATCTTAATACAAACCTTGTAGGAATAAACAACTTTGCAGGTGAGTGGATAATTTCTTAAGGTACCAGAAGGACTAGAACTGCTGTCATCAAAAACATCCATATTGTCTTCAAACTCTTCTCCTTCTTCTCTTTCATTATCTGCATTTAGCTAGAAAAAATTAAAAACCATTAGCTAGTTCGCTTGCTTCAAGAAAATGTCTGGAAACAGGAAAAGCACCTAAAATTGAACGTTTCAAAATGTTAATTTACTTCTTCGATTATACATAGATAGGACTGTCTGTTCATGCATGCATGTTACAAGAAGATAGAGATCATTTTTACAATCAAAAGTAAAATATGTTTCAAACAGAGAAGAAATATTTATTAGTATCTTTCACTTTTTATTGACTGACAATAGGCAACAAAAGAATAAAACAGCTTTGCATGGTGGTGCATGTCTGTAATCCCAGTGGTTTGGGAGGCTGAGGAAGGAGGATCCTGAATTCAAAGCCAGCCTCAGCAACTTACTGAGGTTCTAGCGAGACTCTGTCTCAAAATAAAAAAATAAAAAAGGATGGGGATGTGGCTCAGTGGATAATCACCCCTGGGTTCAATCACTGGTACCAAAAATTTTTTTTAAAAAGCTAAAATAAAATAAATTGGACCATCGAAATTAAAAATTGTTATGCATCAATGGACAATAAAATGACAGGATTCCACAGAATGAGAGAAAGTATTTGCAAATCATATATCTGATGTGGGATTAATATCCAGAATATATAAGGAATGCTTAAAACTCAACAATAAAAACAACACAATTAAAAAATAGGCAGCCAGGTGCAGGGTGCACACCTGAAATCCCAGTGGCTTGGGAGGCTGAGGCAGGAGGATTGTGGGTTCAAAGCCAGCCTCATCAATAGCAAGGTGGCAAGCAACTCAGTGAGACCCTGTCTCTAAATAAAATACAAGGCTGGGGATGTGGCTCAGTGGTCAAGTGCCCCTAAATTAAATCCCTAGGATCCTCCCAACCCTGCAAAAAAAAAAGGGCAAAGAACCTGAATGGATATTTCTCTAAAGAAGATATATAAATGGACAAGAAGCACATGAAAAGATCTCAACATCTTTAATCATTGGGAAAGTGCAAATCAAAACCATGATATACCATTTTATACTCATGTGGAAAAACAGTAGTATGGTGTTTACTTAATAAATTAAACATAGAGTTACATATAATCCAACAATTCCATTTCTGGGTAGAAACCCCAAAGAATTAAAAGCATGGACTAGAATAGAAAATTGTAAACCAATGTTCACAGTAGTAGTATTTACAACAGCCAAAAGGTGGAAGCAACCCAAGTGTCCAGTAACAGATGAAAAGACAAACAAAATTGGTACATACATACAATGGAATATTACTCAGTCTTAAAAAGGAAGGAAATTCCGACAATGTTACCACAAGGATGAACTTTGAGGACAGTATGCTAAGTGAAATAAGCTAGTCACAAAAAAAATAAACCCCATAATTCCACTTATGAGATATCTAGAGGAGTCAAAATCATAGAGACAAAAAGTAGAAAGGTGATTGTCAGGAACTGCGGTGGGTAATGGGAAGTCATTTCTGCAAGATGAGATGGATACCGAGGACAGTGCCACAACACTGTGAAGTTTACTTAACGTCATGGAACTATATGCTAAATAATAAACAGGTATAACTAAATGATAAACAGGTATATTGACACAAAAGGAAAAGTCCCCTGTGCAGTGTTACACAGGAAAAATATATATTTTTCTAATCTGAGTTTCAAGGTATATTACCCACCATAGCTAAAAGGCATATTAACTAAAGTAGTACTGGATGTTCAAAATGTATTTATTTACAGCACCATTTGTGCTATATTAAATATAAATAATATTTACACAAGCATAGTTGTCTGTCAAGGGAGTGCAGGACAAAGAAAACTGATGGATGAACTGGAGTTGTGGCTCAGTGGCATGTACAAGGCACTGGGTTCATTCTTCAGCACCACATAAAATAAATAAATAAAATAAAGGTATTGTGTCCATCTACAACTGAAAAAGGAGGAGGAGGAGGGGGAAGAGGAGGAGAATCACTAATACTTTTAAACTGACTCCTCTTAAAAAATTCTAAGAATTCCTAAATTTTAAGAATACCTAAAAAATTCTAGAGACCTGCAGGGAATTTTAGAATAAACTACATTTTTCCTGCCACATTTACTGCCACCACTTCAAATGTCCTGACATAGTTTCATTTATAATTATTACTGAAAATTCTCCACAGGTCAGTGAGGTAATCTTGTGCCTGATCTTATGTTATTCATTTGTAATCCCTCAGGCCAGTGGCAAAATAAGTTTAGATCTTGACTTCTTAAATCTCAGACTTCAGATTCTATTGTTTTTTCCAACAGGGAATGGTGTCATACAAAAAATAAGGATGTCATTCTAGAAATTTCCATAACACTAACTTAAAAAATATTTCAACTACTTATAAGACATTCCCTTCATACTCTAAGAAAGGTTATAAACATTTAAAAAATGTGGGTATTACAAAAAATAAAAAATGCTCATACATTTATAAAAATGAAGGTAGAACAAATTTCTAAAAAAATACATAAAATGTTAATGTTGTACTGTGCTATGGCACTTGGAATCAATTCAAAACATTTTATCTTGGCAACAATGGTTGACACTAAACATTCCTTTCCCTGCTCTATTTTAAGTTCATTTTTTGGTTCTCATGGAAGGGAATGAAAGGCTGCTGTGGCAGCAACACATGCTTCTGCACTGCTCCAGCACCTTACGAAAATCATATCATCTCAGAATAATTTCTTCCTTTTCCCCTCTTCTACCCTCACAAAAATATTTAGAAAAATTTTTTTTTCTAAATATTTTTGTAGTTGTAGATGGACACAATACCTTTATTTCATTTGTTTATTGTATGTGGTGCCAGGGATCAAACCCAGTGCCTCACACATGCTAGGCAAGTACTGAGCCACAGCCCTGGCTCCAACCCCTCACCTTCCCACCCCCGCCCCGTGGTGGAAGAGATGGAAGTCAGGGTCTCCTATATGCTACCTCTGAGCTACACATCAGCCCCCTCCTCTACCCTCTTGAATCAGCATTTCTAAAATTACATTCTTCTTCTATTATCTAAAGAACTGCGCTCAATTCTTTTTCTTCTGGTCACTTGACAGAACTTCAATCAAAATGATTTTTTTCTAGCTGTACTAGTATTTTTCCATCCTTAGATGTTGTAAAATGCTTACTGTTATTACCAGGACAGATAAGAAGAATCTTTTTGAGTTGGTTTTAGTAGCGGTCTTCTTGTACTCAGCAAAATAACCTCAGATGGGCACCATGAGCTTTGCAGTGGGCTCTGAGTCTGTTGGACTTGAGTGTGAGAGCTGACCATGTCACCTCCTGTGTGACCTTGGGCAAACTACTTAACTTCTCCATCTCAATTATCTCATCTCTCTAATGAAGTTAATGACTGCTTCACAGGGAACCATAAGGATTAAATGAGGTAATACATTTAAAACCCTTAATGCATGCCTGCTGCACAGGAGGCACTTAATAAACCATTAGCTTTTACTGTTTCTATGAGGTAGGGAGAATCTAGATAAAGAATCTGATAATACCCAATACAGGGGAAGGCAGCTGCTTATAGAAAATCAACAACAGAACCTCTGAACTCCATGTGGACAGAAAAGTGATCACAGTGAACATTATTCCAAATATGACATAAAAAAGTTATGAAATATGTGAAAAAGTATCAGGAAAATGGATCCCTGCTTCCAAGCAAGATGAAATATCAGGGACTAAACTAACTAAAAACTGTTCAAAATATATGGAAGAGGGCTGGGGTTGTAGCTCAGTGGTAAAGCTCTTCCTTAGCATGTGTGAGGCACTGGATTCGATCCTTAGCACCACATATAAATAAATAAATAAAGGTATTGTGTCCATTTACAACTAAAAATATATAATAAATATGTATTTATAAATATATAATGTGTGTGTGTGTGTGTATATATATATATATATATATATATATATATATATAGTTTTTAAGACACTGGACATTAAGTAATGACCTACTGCCAGAAAAAGTTCCTAAGCTGAGACATAAGGAGAGGAAATCCAGGCAGAGAGGATGATGGTCTCCCAGAACTGATGAAGTAGAACTAGGAATTCAGGAAGGCCAAAGTGGCTGGAGTTGAGACTGCAGAGTGATGAAGAGGAGGGTGGGAGAGAGAGACAGAGATAGACAGATATCATGGGAAATCTGCAGAGGACATCTTCAGGTATTCAGCCGAGTACTGATCAGTACATGTTATGTGAAGAAAGTATGTGTGGCTAAGAATAGAACCACCCAAATGGATTAGAGAAAATGATCCACAGATGTTGCACAGATTTGACAATAATTCCCGTTCTCTCCTAATAGAATAGAAACCTCAGAAGGCTCAGGGCATCAGGTGGAGTTCTCAGAAAAGGATCAGTAAGGATACAGAAGAACCAACTTGACTTAACTGACATTTATAGAACATAATACCTAACAGCAGCAAGTACATGAGAAACATTTACCAAGATATACCATATACTGGGTCACAAAACAATTTAGTAGGATTCAAGTATGTCAAGTATGTCTGACTACAACAGAAACAAATTAGGAATCACTAACAGCTGTGTGTGATGATGCAAGTAGACTGTAATCCCAACTACTTGGGAAGCTGAGGAAGAAGGATCACAAATTTGAGGCCAGCCTGTAAAACTTAGTGGTCCCTGTTTAAAAAAAAAAAAAAAAAAAAAAAGGCTAGGTAGAGCATTTGCCTAGCATGCACAAGGTCCTGGGTTCAATACATAGTAAAACACACACACACACACACACGCGCGCGCGCGAAAGGAGGAAAAAAGAGACCAGTAACAAAAAATATCTGGAGCCGGGCATGGTGGCACACCACACCTGTAATTCCAGTGATTCCAGCAGCTGAGGCAGGAGGATCAAGTCCAAGGTTAGCCCAGGCAACTTAGTAATATATAAATAAAAGAGCTTAATATATAAAATAAAAAGAGCTGGGGATATAGCTCAATGGTAGTGTGCCCCTGTGTTCAATCTCCAGTACTGACAAAAAAATTATGTAAAAATGATTTAGA